AGGGGTTCTGTTGGAGCGACATGGAGAATGGGTGCTGTCCCTTTTGGTTTTCCCCTTGAGTCTTCCTTCTCCCCATCCAGGATTTTTATAGACCATCCCAGACATCGGGGTGAATGATGATGATTCACCCAGCTGAAAGAAGAAATGGGCTTCGCCAGCAAGGGACCTTTACCAGGTCCTCCAGTAGAGAGGTTAGAATAAGGGTACCGTTTCTCTGTAGTCTATTTCAGTAAGAGAACCCTCCCCCAACATAAAGGTAAAACGGCACTACTGGGGGACCCAGTTTATCATGGGGAGGCGCCCATCGCTTTCAAAGATGCCTGAAGGGGTCTCGCCGAATGAATCGGCGGAATGGAGCAAACAAAACGGCGAGACTCCACGCCAATATCGGGATCTTGGTTGCACGAAACCCACCACCAACAACGAGACTCTTCCACCCTAACGTTTGAAAGGCTGGAAGAGTAAGTGCAAAAACCATGGGCGAGTCAAGATCATTCCACCTCCGCCCGCAAGAAGTGGCTTCCCGAGAAAGCAACCTTCACTTCCAATAAAAAAAACATATTTCCAGTAGTGATAGATTCCCTTTAAAACCAAGAGGGACAAATAAATCATATTCTTAAGCAAATGGAAGTTCATTCCCATGTCAGCCACTGAGGCGTTGACCACGCGCTCGGTCTGCATGCCATCGCCGCCCTCCACATCCACGTCGAAGGCAACCAATGGGTGGTCCTGAATCCAGGTGTGAGCCATAGGGTGAGCCATGGAGAGCCTTGTGAGGCAAAGCGTCTTTGGAGACATCAAAGCCCCGAAATCCACTTTGGTGCTAGTTGCCTGCTGTTTGAGTGGTAGTTCCGACATCAAGCTAGCCCAAACCTTTGCCGCAGATTCACCAGGTGATTGGGCGTCACTGAAGCTATCACCGGACCCAAAAAAATCACCGCCCGCTGCATGAGCAATGGTCAATATTCGCAATCTGCTATTCTTTCCCACTCCCGGGAGTGCCCGGAGTGGAAGCAAGAGCGGCAAGCTTTGCAACCCTCACTCAAATTGAACCGAACCCCAAAAGCAACAAGCGAAACAACCTCAGAATAGCGACTGCCCAAAGGTCCGGTGCGACCGTGTACCTGTGGGGGCACCCCTCCAAGCAGAAGTGTCCACTAGGGTTGGTGTGATCAACGGAATCCTCCTAAAAGGGATCGCCACAGCCGATCTGCCACGGATGTTGCTTGCGAGGGTTTCGTTTCCACCATTTCTCAAGGAAGATTGGGTATCTAGCATCTATAGGGCCAATCCAAGTGATAATTTCCAATTTCCCTTCTTTTCGGGTTGAACTCATTGAATTGCAACGATCTCGAACCTGTGGCCTGAGAACCAAACGCAACCAGAAGGGACACACATCCCACTCACCGGCTGGAACCCATTCCAAAGCTCGCACTCTCGATCTGCAGACCCTACGGAAAGCCCTCCCAAGCTGCCCCAAACCCCCCGCCCACCCCCTTCCAATGAGCCTTTCTGGACAGAGACAACAAATCCAGAGCTTGCAGCTGCGGACAAACGGCACCAACCTGTATTTTCCCCGATAGACATTTTCAGTTGGGACTTCTTTCTGTTATTCTGGTCTAAAACGGCAGCAAGGAATCGCCCCAATGGAGGTTCAGGCCAAGAAAAGCACCCGAGAAGTCAGTCACGCTTGCCTCCTCGTCCTCGCCCCAGGCATTGGCACGCTCGCCCAGCAGCAAGCTGGCGCCGCCTGACAGACATCTTTCCAGAGCCACGCTCTGCAAAGTTACGGAGAGGCTCTTCCTAACTTGCTGGTGCAATAGGGAATGACCCAGGGTTTGGGAATGGACCTAGACCTGCTGAGAACCAGCAGGCCAACGCCTCCCGAATTCTTGATTTCCTTCTGGCCTCCGCTCAAACAAGTCCCCCAGAAAGGGTACCTAGTGTTGACACATGCCCATTGAACTTGTTCTCTACTAGTCCCCCTGATTCCCGAGTCATACGGAAACATCGATGCTTTCCCTGGCTCTTTGCTGTTCTGGAACGGACTCCAATGAAGTGACCCCTCGAAGTGAGATCTTTGCACTGGCCGTTCGGCAAACCGGCCTGCCACCAGCAGGTTTCGCCGCTTGCGCAGATCGGTGCTCTGCTGGGTCCGCGAGGACAAGAAACCTACAAGTCTGGCAAGGGGGATGACTTGGGGTGACACACACACACACACACACAAGCGCACACACACACACAAACAACGCCAGCACATGAACCTAGGCAGCGTGTCTGCCATGTAATGAGATTTGAACAGAACTCTAGAAGTTTCAATTCAACAGGCAGTTGTGTGTGAAAGCACATGCGTGGGTGAACGCCACCGCAGTAAACACATGATGTCGGATGCTGCAAGTTTACAGTACATCACCATACTACGGCGAGCAGCTCAAGCTAGCTCGGCCAAGCAAGATCGAGCAGACCTGGGCGCGACAAGGTCGAATGGGAATCTGCCGCAGGTTTAGCATATGCAGCTGACACCGAATGCCATCATAAATAAATAAATTGTATTTTGAGATACACGTGTGATGATTGAAACACTTTGTTAACTAACATATTTTGTACAATCATCTACGAGCTATTGCCAATATATCGCTCGGACAAACCGAACTCAATAACATTCGCTTGATCATGTGATATATATATATATACATACACGATGTTTAGGTACCCACCTGAAAAGAAAACCCGCAAGAAACATGGTACCGCGAGGGTTGGGAGCAACCCAGAACAATTGATTTGTAGGGATTTGTTTTGGTTTTCGCAAGATGGTTTCAGGGAGAAGATGGTTGCAGGGCTTTGCATTGCTTCTCTCTCTCTCTCTCGCTTTCTACATTTCCGTTTCTGAATGGCTTTGCATTGCTAATTCTCATTGTCGTAGGGCCGACTGGGGTCAACTCGGCACTGCTCACTTCAGTTTGAAGCCGTGCTTTGGCAGTGCTGCTCCAATGACACAGCATATGAGTCACAATCAAAACCCGGTATTTAAATGGTCTACCCAGAACCATGTAAAGAATTAAGAAGGCGGAAATCCGCAGCTATTTCTGGCTGGGACTGCCCCTTACTAACCTTCATCAATCCCCGGGTTTTGAGCACGTGGCTCATACGACTCCATGCTCATTGCCCAGAACTGAACAAAGAAACCGTGTTCCGTGTGCAAAGCTTTGTAACCACGTTGGGCGGGCGTGTCCTGAACCGTCATTAGACGCGGAACGCAAAGGGAACAAGGAAGTTCTGCGCGTGCAAAGGCATAAACAGGGGGCAGTGGAGCAAAAGATAGACCAATTCCATCCCAATTTGGCTTTGGTCATTCCCCTATCCCAAGAGGAAGTTGGGCGTGCCTCTTCTTGAGGCCACCCCTTTTGGTTTTTAAGGAAAACCAAAAGGACACCCAGAATTTGAGGAGGTTCCCCCCAAAGAAACGATGCACCGAACTGTGCCATCTACTTTCACCAAACGCGGCGTTTCCCTTGGGCTCCATGGCGGCACCACTGCTTGGTCATAAAAAAGAACATATTTTGGTCGGTTCCCACTTATCCACGGGAACAACATAAAACAGCAGATTTGAAACGCGCAACGAATCACACACACACACATACACACAGGACCCATAAACATGTAAGCAGCGTGTGACCGACAAAAGCAAAGAGCAAGACAATATATTCAAACAGGAACAAAGCACAGGTCCGATCTGCCCACATCTGCCATTGTACCGGAGCCGACCCGTGGATTCTCCCTACCCATATTTTTGTTTTGCTGCACCAACGAACGAACAGAGACAACTAGATCCAACGCAAATGCTTGATTTTACAGCCCCACGTTATCATCTGAACAAAGAAGAGAAGAGCACCCATTTCTGTGTGATTTGCCAATTCCAATGGCCATTGCCAAACATCTCTGAAGATTCACAGAGGAAACCCGACAAGCCCCTTCAAGAATCCTCCTCAAATGTGCTGCCTTATGTTCGTTCAGATATCAGCCATCACCTGCACTTTCCCGGACCCAAACACATCCGCGCCCTGGGATTGTCATTAGCTTCAACTCATCGCACGTCAAGAGCCGGACTGCCAAGCAAAGTAGCTTCGTCGTCCGTGCCATCAGGTCCTCAAGGCAGATACCAAGGCCTCCTTCGCTTGTGGCCGAAGTCAAAAGCGCAGGTGAAAAATGGGTGAATCCACACCAGGAAATTTCAAGCGAGCCGCAGCATGCTCACCAGAAGCATTGGACGAACGCAACTTCTCTCGCGTCAGTATTGGAGTTAGGCCTACATCCCACTGCTTGCTTTCCTTCTAGCTGCATATACTCCAAATGTCTGCAACAAGCATTGTAACAAGGCCTACGTTGCTTCCACTTCTGCGCGTGCACAACCAAAAGCGAGGCCTCCGAGTGCAGCCAAGCCACAAAATCGAGGCTTCGCTCAACGATCGCTCAAGGAAGTCAGCAGGATGGCTGCGGGATGAAACAACAGGCCAGTGAATGGGTGTCTTTTTTGGGGGATGAGTGGTTTTTCGTTTCGATCTCCTTTGACTTGAACAGCACAAAAGAGGGGTACCATCAACAAAACGCACCCATAGAATGCCAGTCTGGCACAACAGACTTGGCCCTGCGAGTCTCCGGTAAATATTCCCTCTTGCCTTTTGACACATGCATTTCAACAATCGTCAAAACACATGGGAAGTATGCAACGCGTGAGAGACTTGCAAGTCTCACACCAGATTCCGAAATATTCCATACTTCCCAATCTGAAAGAACCGTATGAACATGGCCAAAAGTCTCCTGCGTACAGCAGCAACCATGGAATGTATGGGTATGTGGAAAAACTAGGGGGACCCCCAAAATGGCCATGTTCCTGGTTTCTCTTCAAATCTACCAAGATTGGTACCCTCAAAAGAGACACACACACACACACAAGGCCCCCTATTAAAATACAAATAGAAACAAACCATCGCTTTCTCGGCCTCGCAGCGTGTGCGGGCCCTGCGAAGTTCGGCGTCAGCCGCCTGACGCCCACTTGGCACCACCACCTCCTTTGTCTCCCATGTGGCTGTGAGTCAAAAACAGGTACTCAAAATGGAAGCCTGGTAGATGAAACCAGGGACTAAAAACTGCTGTCCCTGGTGGTTTATTTTGACCCATGACATAGAGGACCTCCACCTCCTTTTCCCACGTGAAAACTCTCAAGGCTTGGGGCGAGCTGTTGCCGTTCGGGCCAGTCTTCAGGAACGTGTGGGGAGAGGCAATGCTTCCCTGTGAACTTGCCCACCAGAACATATGTCTTGGCTTTGAACCAGTGCTTTTCCCGAGAGTTTTGTAATCAGGAATGGCGGCTTGTTGCAAGGGCAAACGGTCTTTCACGGAGGGGGCAAGCACCCGCACCTTTGGTGTATATATATATCCAGATACATACATACATATGGGTCTGTCTGCTTGTAGGGACCCCAAGCAAACGGTTGGCTTCCTTTTGGCTCCCCTTGAACACCAACCAAGAAAAGGGCACACTCAAACAAACAAGACCCATATCTGTATATATGTATATGTACAAATACATGTATACACATAGACCAGAACAGAGGCCGGTTATCCCCACAAGGTTTGGGTTGAGATCATCCATTCCAGCAAATCCACAGGAAGAGCGAGCGGGTTCTATCACAACTCACATGAGCACCCCACGAATGCCCAACTTCCATGACTATGAGGACCTCAAATGCCCAGAAATCAAATCAAGTACAGGGAAAGCCTTTTTGTATCTAGCCCCTCATATCGGTGCTCTGAATCAGGGATTTCGTGGATGTCATGTTGGTGACTCGCGTCCACCAACCTCTGAGGGAACTCCAACCATGTAAGCTACCCCAAGGATCAGCCCTGTGCACATCGGGCCCCATCAAGAACCCGCAGTCCCTCTGCCCTCGAAGCAGCTTCTCCAATTTTTGGGACTTCCAAACTTCCAAAGCTGACGATTTGAGTTGGGACTTCAATCACTGTCAAACTTTTCGGACTGCCAAAGCTGTCGGTCGACTTTTTGCTAGGTCCTCCAGATTTGAGAGGTTAGAACCAGGGTACCCGCAATAAGTTTCTGTCAATTTTAGTAGGTTGGACCCCTCCCAACTAAAAGAAGGGTAGAGAAAGGGCACCAATTGCTGGGGGATCTAGCCACGCATGTGCCCAGTGATTCCATTTCCCTGGTGTTGGTCATGTCACCAGAGGCTTGCCGCCAAACAAAAGGAAAATGGCTGCTTCAATTGAAAGAAGATCAAAAGTACACCATGGCTGCACCATGGGGACGGGATGGGAGCAACGAGCTGAGCGCGCCTCACTCTCCAGGAAGGCCTCCTGCTCTCTGGACTGAGCTGCCTGGCTCGGGCGGTTCAAGTTCTGGGCTTCAGAGTTGGTTCCAGTCGAAGTCGGACCCCCCCCCACCCAGGGGCGTTGGAATAGAGAAAGCCAACAAGGATCCACCCGAGATTAGGGATCCCCACGCAAAGTCAGGGGGTTGTAAAAAAGAGGAAAATATAGGGGTCCACCCTTGGGATCCCTTCACAGGGTTGAAGTTGAGGGTATATTTCAAACTCAGTTTCACAATCTAGATTGGATCTGGGAAATGTGTTTTCATGGCCGTTGCACCCTCGACCTTTGGGACAAATTTGGGGCTACCACGGGAACCCCATGCGACACAGCTCTGCATTGAGTTGCGGCCTTCGTCATACATGCCGCGCCTCGGGATGAATACGGGGAATCCCCA